GATCGAGTCCCGCATCGGGCTCCCTGCTCAGCGGGGGGTCTGCTTCTCCCTCTGACCCTCCCCCCTCTCATGTGCTCTCTGTCTCAAATAAAAAATCTTAAAAAAAAAAAAATTAAAAAAAAAAAGAAAAGAAAACACCTCCACGAAGCATTCGTCTGTTTAGCACAGTAGAGGATCGAGCTCTTTAGCACTGCCCAGAATACTAGTCCCGGGGACTGGGAGTCACCCCGCAGGTGACTGGCAGTTTTCAAAGCACCCGATATTTAGTGAGCTGGTTTCCTAGCTATTCTAGAGGTGATGCTGAGACGACTACAGGGGACGAGAGGGAGGCAAATGGTAGGGCTCCGGGCCTGGTGCCCCCATGCCCAAACTTCACTTTTATGTGGCTTATGTATGGGGATTTTTATGTGGAAAACATCTTTCAAAAGAGATACACCTTTTACAAAACTTAACAGTACTGAAGTATTCCCATCTTTTTTTTTTTTTTTTTTTAAGATTTTATTTATCAGAGAGAGCGAGAGAGCACAAGCAGGGGGGAGCGGCAGGCAGAGGGAGAAGCAGGCTCCCTGCTGAGCAAGGATCCCAAGGCTGGGCTCGATCCCAGCACCCTGAGATCATGACCTGAGCTGAAGGTAGACGCTTAACCTACCGAGCCACCCAGGCACCCGAAGTATTCCAATCTTTTAATACAAACCCTTATGAGTAGCATTCCAATCTTTTTGAGATTTTAAAAATTGGAATGACGGTTGTAACCATCAGCCATCACAGCCATTGTGACTGCCCGAGAATCAGTAGTCGCAGCAGAGCATGTCTTCCAATGGCTTAAAAATCTTACCTGATATCCACCTGTCTTATTCTATGTGGACTTTCTAATTGTGTGTGTTTGGGACAACTGGGAGTTTGACATTCTTTCAAGATTTGATTGCTAAAAACCATTAGTTTTAATTTCCTACATTACTGCTTCATTGTGCACACTTTGCCTGGTAAGACGGGGAAGAGATGAAGTTTGTAGAAGTGCTCACTGAGCCAAATTGGAAATTGGAAACTGCCCCTAAACCTTTTAAAATGAAAAGTCCTCAAGAGAAAAACATATCAGACCTAAGCACTACTTAGGCAGGGCCCATGATAGATGTAAATCACAGACTTCCTTTTTCTCCTGCCACAAATGTCAGAAATGCTTGGCATCTGAGTGCAATGCATTTTTCCCCCCTTTCTGAACAGCTCAACTTGGAAAGATCAGCATATCCCTTTGGGAAAAAAATCTTTTCTTATAAATTGGAATGTTTGCACACATAACTGTAGGAAATATTTAACATTTGCTTTGATGGGACAGCAATTTATTCAATAGGGTGGAATTGTTCTTCTTTTTCCATTTTCCTGCCTATTTGTACATCACAGGCACACAAATTACTGAATGCAACTTTGAGTGCTTCTATGAGATCAGATCATCCTGTCCACAAAACCAGCCAACGCCTTGGGCTTCCGAAAGGCAAGCTATGTTCCATCTTTTATTTGCTCCAAGGGACTTGTGAGAGGCTGCTCTGAATAAAAGCAGTAATTTTCCACAGACTATACATACTGAAACCCTGAAGAAGGAGGAGGAAGGGCGGGGAGGCTGAGGGTGAGGAAAAGAAAAACAGAACAACAGGTCCAGGATCTCCTGCTTCACCTTTGCACACGTTTGTTTCAGTGTGGAAAGGACACTCAGTGTCCCATGTTTCAGATGAGGTCATTTTGTTTGCATCTTCTGGTTTACTGAAAGAGGGTTACAGATCATTATGACAAAGCAAGTCACTGTTCGTGATCAGCTGCCTCTAATTTGATAATCAACATAAATATTTGTGGTTCATGGAGAATTCTTCTTCACCAGAGCCCATCTTTCCATCCATCTTGAACTGATGAAGAACAGCTCCGAGTTTGTGTGTTATATTCATTTCTGGAGCAATAGGGGATCCCGAAAACAAGCTTATATTTTTTCTTAAGGTAAAAATGCTTTAATTTTGCAACGACCAAAAATAGACACAAGGAGGGACTGTAAGGAAGATAACGGCATTGAGGTATTGGTCGAGGCTGGGGCTGGACTACAGAAAGGGACCTGAGTCAGCGCGGCTCATTATTTTGGGACATTTCCAATTATTCATCTCCAGAAAGAGTTTCCCTTCCATTTCAGCCAAATTGCTCTACAGTGTGCTAAGTGGCCATGTGTGTCCTGAGGCACCTGTGTACTCCAGGAGAAGAAAGGCCCTATCAGAGACAAACCACCTCTTTCCACACCTACATCCTCGTACCCGACGGACGTCCCATCCCTTCTCATCTTCCCAAGCGCTTTCCTCCCTCCATGAATCCTTCCTTCCCTGGGTTAGTAATTTCTTTTTCTCCATTGCTCAACTACAAAAGCACACAGACACGTTCTATCCCCTCTCCATATTGAAAAATAAACACTTGTAACTCATATTCCCTTATAATTACCACCCACGTCCCTGCTCCCTTTCAGTAAAACTTAAAAAAAAATTAACAGTACACATTGATTTCTACTTTTCCTCCTCCATTCACTCTCTAACCCACTTCAACTGGCTTCCATCTCCACTTCTCCAAAGGAAGGATCTTGACAGTCGCTAAGACTTCGTCAAAGCCAGTGGGCATGTATCTGTTCTTGTGTTACTCAGCTTCTTGGATTTCCACACAGTTGACCACTCCACTCTTAAATCACTGCCCTCTCTTGGTTTTCACAATACCACCTTCCCCTGGTTCTTCTCCTACCTTTGGACTGACTCTTCCCAGCTTGTTTTGTTGGTTCTCTATCCTCTATCTCTATCTGAATGTGGACGTGCCCTAGGTCCGTCTTTGGCTTTCTTCCCTTCTTTCTACTCTCTGGATGATTTCATCCAATTCATGGTTTTAAATAGTATATAAATGCTGAAGAACCCCAATTTTATGACTCTAGCCCTGACAATGCCTGTGGTTTTCACATTCATATATGCAATTACTTGACATTTCCACATAGATATTCACTCGACATCTCAAAATTATTCTCCTAAACGTGTTTCCCTTTCCATTCTCAGTAAATGGCACCACCATTGACCCAGGTGCTCAAGTAAAAACCTGAGAGTCATCCTTAATTTCTCTCTTCCTTTAATTCTACCGCATCACCTCCCCACATCCAGTCTCTCCACAAATCACCTCAGTTTGGTCTTCAAGTTGTATCTTTATTCAACTTTAATCTCTAGGTCCACTTCCACCTCCATGTTGTCATAATCACTCATCCAGACCTTTACAGTGGTCTCCCTGCACCCACTCCTTCCCGCTTACGATACATCCTACACACGGCAGCCATAATTAAAAAAAAAAAAAAAAAGTAAAAAAAAAAGCAGATCGTATCATTGTCCTGTTTAAAGTCCATTCACATTTCTCATTGCACTAGGGATCAATTCAGACCAACCCTAGCGTGGTTTACATGGCCCCATATGGACTAGCCTCTTGTGGGCTTCTCCAGTAGCCCGCCTCCCACACTTCTTACTCTGCTTTAGCCACCCTGGCCTCCTTGTTGCCCTGGTCACATGTCCCATCCTTTTCTGACTCAGGGCCTTTGCATCTGTTCTTTTTGCAACATTTTACCCCAGTATCTTCACATACCTGGCTCTTTTTAATCCATTAGTACTAGTGTTATTTATTCTTCAGAGATTTGTTCCTTACCTTTACCCCTGTCACTCTTGTTCAAAACACTTTATTTGCTTGGAAGTACTTACCTTCATCTAAAATGATCTTCTTCATTTGTAGGCATGTTCTGGGGCTTTTACAGACAGAACCTAAGCTCCCTGAGGGCAGAAGCCTTGTCTCCCTCCTTTAGTATTGATGGCTGATCTGGTAAAGTGCCTAGCACCCAGTAAGTATTTGTTGGATGAATTAATTCATTCAAAGGCTGTTTTTAGAACCCCTACTATGTGCCACATACTGTTCTAAGTTCTTGATATACATCTGTGAACAAAACAGGACACAGATCCCTACCCTCAGAAACCTAATACTTTAGTAGGAGAGATGGGCAATAATCAAGACAAGTAAATCAAGTAAAAATACAGTATGTTTAAAAGTGGTAAGTGCTAGAGAAGGAGAGTTTCTGGGTGCAAACTTAGGATAGTCTCGTCTCTTTTTCCCTTTACAGTGGAAAAAACATTTGCTTTGCAGACACTTGAAATCCTGGCTTCTAAGGTAAACCATGGAATTGTGAGTGGTTTACCTCTTTGGGGTTTAGCTCGCTTATCTGTAAAATAGAATAATACCCACCTCACAAATTTGATGTGAGGAATAAATAAGGTAATATAAATCAAATATTATCTCGTCCTTCCCAGCCACCCACCCTCACCCTATTATTCCAAGGGGACGAAGCACACGGTATTAGCATGTTCTCCCTCTCTGTAACCTTAACATGCAACCCAACTTTTTTTGCAAATACTCAACACATCCTTAGCGCATAAATATATGAACAAACAAGTGTATGGGTAATTTCAGAGCAAACAATCAAAGCTACTTTTATTCAGAAGCAATGCTTTTTTAAAGACAGTAGGAAACCCTTCCGTTTCTTTAATAATTTTCCCCTTTCTCATTTCTTAAGTTAATTCCATTTTTATAGACCCCTATTGACAAAGAAGAAAGGATCTATCCATTTAGTCTTTCTTACCATATATAGGAGTAAAACTAAACAGATAATTATTTTATAGGAGGATAAAACATTTATTTAAATGGAAACACTAATCTTTATTTTCATCATGCTGAAGTGTGCTGTGGTTACAATTTCCAATAAAATGCTATATAATAAGCAAAAAATAAGTTAATACATAGTAAACTTACATACAGTTTCATCAATTAACAGGTTTAGGAACAAACAAGCCATTTTCCGACTCTGGAGCTACATTTAGTAAAAAACTGCAAACACTCAAACCTTATCAACCCCAAGTAAGACACTAAGGAGCTATTCAAGACTTCTTCAAACCAATTACACGAATACAGTTTTATTTTTGGTTACAGTCCCCTGCTGTGCACAAGACCACTGGAATGCTGTAACAATTACACATTTTAAAAGGGCACAAAGCAAAGCAAGGAGCTAACATGCCAGCCTTACAGAAGCTGTCCTGAAAGTGCAAACTCTGCATTTTCTCTTCCTGAACCACTAGGATAAGCACGGGTACCTCGGACGACACGGCAGGGTCAGGAGCATGCTTTCTCTACCACTGGTGGGACATTTAACTTGAACCACGTCTCCATGCCTTTGAAGATACCTCCAGTTTTAAACAGTGAACAGGTGTCAACTAAATATAGTGCAAATCAAATACCGAGGAGCAAAACGACAGACTAGAGACCGCCCCAGGTCGACCCGCTGTCTCCCCGCCGGGCAGCACGCCCCACGGGACAACTTGTCTTCAGGTTTTGCCGTGGGAGGCGCTGCGGCGGAGCGAATGCAGGGCGACCACACAGCAGCCCCGCAGCAGCGCTCCGATGTTGTAGACGGGATCGGTCGCCCCTCTCTGAGTACTGAATGCCCACAGAACCGTGGGCACCACCGGGGCAGCCACGGCCAGGAGATCCACCAGGAAGCTGCTGCTCCAGTACTGCCTCCCGACGGCCCCCCGGGGCAGCGGGCGGACGCCGTCCAGTCTCTCCTCCGTGGAGCCTGCAAAATCCAGCTCTCTCATGAGGCGGTTTGCAGGGGCTTCCGTACCCACCGCGGCGGACGGGGTCTCCCCGGGAGACAAAAGGATGGCGGAGTTGGGATTTCTTGGCGTTAGATCAACCAGGAATGCGGAGATGGACTCGGGGAAGCTTTGTGTCGAGTCAGCCCCGGACTCATCAGGAGAGGCTGAGCCCGAGGGACAGGGGTCCTGGAGCTTGAGCACATGCCGAATGAGCTCCGAGACCGCAGGGCTGTAGGGCACCACGTCGGTCTGCACGGCCCGCTCCACCAGCGCTCGGGCCTCTTCCTGGGCCCCGGGCAGGGGGAGGAGCCCGAGGGCCTGGGCCCCGGGGGCTGATCGAAGAAGCTCCAGGTCGGGGGCCTCGGTGGCGGCGGCGGCGGCCGTCACCATGCCATCAAACAGATCCGTGCCGTCGGCCATACCATCTCCCACCAGCAGCTCGCTGCCAGCCCCCTCCTCCATGCCCTGCGCCTCCAGAGACAGCCCATCCGCCATCTTGCCGAAAGGGGTGCTGGGGGGTAAGCTTTTCTCCGGGGAATCGCACGGGAAGTCCAGGCACAGCTCATCCCTCAGAGCGCCGCTGTGCGCCATCTCCATGCTCTGAAGCAGGGACTCCAACTTCTTGTTTTGGATGTTGATGTCCACAAAATACTTCTGAATGCCTTTATCTTTATCAGCCAAGCTGCTCCGCATCGTTTCGATGACCTGTCGGAGCTGTTTGATCTCTTTCCTGGCTTCCTTCAGGGCCAGCTGGGCTTCCACGCGGTGGCACTCTTCCTCAATCCAGTCTTCCCTCATGCGGGCCAGCTGGGACTTGAGCTCCACGATCTCGCTTTCCCTGCGGCGAGAAGACACGCGCGGCTAAGGGCACGGCTCCTTCGACCGTGCAGACGGCTCTTCGGCCGCCCGGCCGAGAGCCCGTGCTCTGCCCCTTGAAACGCAGAGGCTAAATCACTTCGCAGTTTTCCCTCACACGTATTAGCCAGGAACTTCCCCCCTTAATTGTAAAATAGCAAAAATGATAATAACTAGACTCAGAATCAAAAATGCGACTGTTTGTTTTCTTCCTGAGTGCTCACTATCTGTCAGGCAGCACGCTAAGTATAGGCATTATCCTCTATTCAGTACTTAATATTTGAAATTTTGTTACGACATCGCGTTAGAGCTTCTTTGCCTGCTTGTACATCCATAGCCTACCCTTTCCTATGTCTACACTTTGTGGAAGGAAAGTTCCTTTCACTTTTAATTACCCATCACAGACAGAAGGCAGACGGGTTAAGTTATGGCCTGCAGCGGTGTTCTGATCATGTAATAATCTGAAATTTTTTTAAATTAGAAAATGCTGCATGTTGCAAAGACTGTGTGAAAAGTCGATTATTCTGTCTCTTCTCAAGGTAAGAGGATGTGGGATCCATCCTACACTGAAGAAAATCCATCCCACTGTTTTAGATCCTTCACGGGACCCTCTCTCAAGATCTTTGTCGAAAAGTTCTTCCTGACATATCATTTCTTCATAGTCGATGTAAATACAAGTCCTCATATTCTCAGTGGATATGAAGACCAGGCAGTGAGGATCCTGATACATATGAAGGGATGGTGTCAATTTTGCTTCTCTTAGTTTAGATCTGAGTGTTCTCCAGTTCCGTGCCTTCCCATGCTTCCCTGCCATGAGTGCTCAAACCCTCCCGTAGATTCTCAAATCATAAACAAAGACTTCCAGAAAGTAAGGTCTGACTCATGCTATCCTCACCCTGAGTTCACAGCTACCCTGGTCAGAGCTCTGTCCGCTATCCCAGAATGTTCCAGGGGAAAATCATTAAGCAGAAAATCTGGCCTGCCCCAAGATGTCAAAGGTCTTTTCTCTCCTAGATAAGATCTCACAAGCATGGGCTGTTTTTTGGTTTTTGTTTTTTCACTTTAACACTTAGCCAAGAATAATGAACCTCTTCCTTCAGCACAGAAATAGCTTGCAGGAATCACACAATACACACGGCCATCCACGCTCTCAGAGAGATAAACAGGGCTTAATAGGGCCCCGGTGTGTGACCCTTTCTGCTGGAAGTATGGGATTGTTCCTGTGAGTGTTCCTGCCATTTAAAAATAGCCACGCACACACCCAACACTTCATGTCAAAGCCGTACACACCCAGAAAAAGTAGGGGGCCCGCTCTAACCTGAGAGGGTCCCCTGAACTCCTGAAACACCAAATCATGCAGGAATACGAAAGGGCTCTTTTGAAAGACCGGTTTAGGGAATTTGGCAAAAATTCAAGGAAATCATTTTTCTTCTTTTCTATTTTTCTAGAGTGTGGACTTGTATTTCACTTTATGGAAAAAGAAACCGCCCTAAATCAGGGTGAAAGGAGTGCAGGTTCACCTTTCATAAAGTCGGCGCTCAGATTCCTTCAGCTTGGTCTTCAGGTGCCTCACTGTGACCTCTTTCTGCTGCAGAGGAGTCAAATATTGCTCTGGATTTGGGGGCTTGACACCATGATTTTCACCACAGGACATGTACCTTCCAGAGCGCCTGAAATAATCCAAGCAATGAAATGTTACGTCTTCTGTAAAAAAAAAAAAAAGTTAAGGCGAAGCTAACAGCTTGAGAAGGGATGGTGGCCGCGCGCTGGGGTCTTACAGCTCGATAACGTGTGCTTCCCTTGGGAAGGGCGACTGGACTCTACCTGCCCATCTCAGGACTGCGCATTACTTGGGAGACTGTGGGGAGGGTGTTTGTGGAGAGGGTGGAGACAGTGGAGAGGGAGAATTTTCTATGGCTTAGGAATGACCTCATACAAAATAATGCACAATTGTGCACGGGCCTGCCTGTGGGTTCAGAGTACAACACTGTTAGATCAGAGGACAATGAGCCGGGCGGGCGCGAGGGAAGGCCAGCAACGAGACGTCCTGACTTCCCACACAATGTGCCACTGCCTAACATTCTGATTGTTAGGAGCTGGATTCAAAAGGTTCCGAGATCAATCCCCGCTGTGAGGGGGCCCATCTGGAGGAAAGTTTCCTTCTTCCAAAGCGAAAAGGCTACTCCACCGTCACCAGAGTGCCCTGGGTTCGAGAAAACGTCCTGAGCTGGAATGTCAGCCCCGCTCAGGCCTGGCCAAGTGCTGGGCATCCCTGCTGTACGAGGGCTGACAGACGAGAATGGCCACCCAGGAGGAGGAAGACTGAGGAAGGAGGGCTGGCAGGTTCCTCCCTGACTCTGGAGCCAGCCCAGGCCGCTACACTCGCCCTGCTCCCCCATGAGCCTGCGCTCCGTCCAAGATGGTTTGTGTCCAGCTCCCAACCTTCTAGTGCTCCTATTGGGCCCCCTTGGTTGCATAGGTCCTTTTTTCCAGAACCTCCCGCCCTTCCCCCCCCCCCACCGCCCCGGGACTAATTAATTCCTTGCTTGACCTTCAGATTTTGTTTCAATGTCATTTCCTCACAGAGGCCTCCTCTGATCCCTCCAGACTGAGCTGGATCCCCTCCTGACCTCTTAAATACACATACAGCAACAGGTACTCGCAGAATAACCTGAAATGTGTTTTTGTCATTAGACGAGCAATGTCTTTGGTATCCTCCGGGCAGTAAGCACAGGGACCCTCTCTGCCGTTCACTGTCCCATTCCCAGTGCTCTACACAGTGCCTGGCACAACGTGGTACTCAACACATATCTGATGTTTGAATGAACGGTGAACACGAGAGTGAGTCTTTCCTGTTCTGAGGGAAAGGTGTAGGTCCCTCCTACTGCCCTGTGCCACTTTTCCTCCCTGGCCAGTCACTCCTCGGACTGCCGAGCCTTAGCAGAAACTGCTTTGTGTTCTTTCTGCAGCTGCCCTTGAAGGATTCGCTGAGTGCAGGAAAGGAAAGAGAAGTGACTTACTACAGAGTAAGGCAGGCGCTCGAGAGTTGCATACCTTTTTTTTTTTTTTAAGTGTTTGAAAGAAAACTTACCGAGGAGGGCAAACTCTGAACTGGGAGCTGGAGATGAGCGGCACTCACCTCATGACTGGGCTGCCGTCGCTTCCTTTGTAGGAGCCGGAGTTGCTACTACTTGGGGAGGAAGGCGCGTAACTGGGATGGATGTTAACGGGACTCAGCTGATTCCTGCACAGCATGGACAGAAAGTCCTTCTCCCGTGGGGAGGGTGGGCTGTTGCCAGACTTGTATGACGAAGCTCCATTACTCCGCCCATGGGGACCTCGGCTGGGAGAAAAGCATGTAAAATGTTCACATGCTTGGGGCGACCAGGGCTCAAATGCTAATACTTGGCTCCGGCATAAGGCTAGTTACAACTAAGGAAAGCCAATGTACAGAGTTGAAAGGGCAACATAATTACTTAGTGCAAACTGTCCTTACCAGCAGCCCTCTTCCCACCTGCCTGAGATTTCTTTCCTCTGCCATGAGCACAGGCAACCTCACCCTCTGCCGTTCGTGCAAATAGTTTCTGACCATAAAGCTGGTTTTGGATTAATCTCAATGCTTGTTAAGAGCACAACCCACATCAAATATTGATTTGGTTGAGGTTCCCTTTGAAGGCTGTTCCAGTACACCTGTTTCAACTTAAACATGTTTGGGTTTGGTTCATGTTGGGGTAAGAAAACTAGGATGGTTCATTTGGAGTATGAGGAAAAAGGGGTTGTTGCCCACAAAGGAGGAAGAGAAAAGAGGACAGATGAACATAACAAATGTCTCAAGCCTATAGTTTTAACCACCTATTTTCTTTCCTTTTCTTTCCATGCTCCAATGACTGAACACAACCTTAATCATTTAACTGCTGAAATGTTTTAACAGCTCTCTCCTGGCTCCCTGGCCTGTCATCTTGCCCCCTCAGCAAGGAGGCTGATTTTCTGGCTGGAGTGGCCTTTCTAAAATGAAACCGGATATCACTGTCTTCAAAGCCATTCAATGGCTCCCCAGTGCCTCACGAGGTCCAATCCCACCTCCCCATCCAACCCATCCTTTACCACTCCTCCCTCTGTATTCCAGAATTCCAAACAACTTACAGTTTCCTGATGACTCACGCTCTCCAGCACCTTTATGTTTTTGAACTTATAATTTTCTCTGTCTAGAACATCCTCCTGCTCCCCACCCTAAGCCTTGGGATATTTCCAACTTCGAGACCAATGGGAGCCTACTCCAAGCAGCCTTCTCTGGCTTCTTCCTTCTCTAGGCTTGTGTATATGTGGCTCCTCGGTGGTCCCTAGTACTCTCTGCAAAAGTCCATTCTGGAATTTATCTCGTGGCATCACAACCCCACACTGTGTGTCCTTCCTGCCAGATGAGGGCATTTCCAGGGCAGGAGCACAGTCTGTTCTGTCCCCACTGCTTCCTGGCACATGCTGGGAGCTCCCGAAACGATGACTAAATGGATAAACTGGGTCTGAGCCTTGGCACCACCACTTACTAGGAACTTAGGCAAGTAAGCTACTTAATACACAGGGACCCATAATAACCTTTCTTGTCTTCCTCACAGAGTTGATATGAATCAAAGAATGCATGTGAGTGCATCTGATAAGATGTGAAAGGCAATTCAGCTGTAGGATATTATTACAGGATCAACTGGTTTGGGCTTCCCTATTCATCTAGTTCCCGAGATTTGACACCCACTATGTAAGGAAGCCACCTGAGAATGTTGAAATTACTTAAATAGGATAAAAGTTCGGTGTCAGGAATATTTCTTGATGACATTACAAGAAAATAAAAGAGAACAAGATACCTGTCATACAGAAACACTGCTTTTTGACCATCCCCTCTTCGCAATTTCGATGACAGCTGCATCCGACAGACGCATCTCAAGGAGAAACGCATGTAAATGTGAGCGTGCGTGTGGTATACATGTACTTGGCTCCGAAACCGCACTCACTTAAAACCAAATGCAATTTCAACTAGCTGTCAACCCAGGAAATCACATATAAATGAAACATCACCAAATTCTAAAGTTAAAAAGTTCTTTCCTTTTGAAATCACCCAGATAGACTCTGCCTCCTTTTTGTGAGAAGGGGACACTTTATATGGAACAGATGGGCTGATGGCTTTGTGACAGACCAACTCCAGCAGCCAGTGGTGCTGGGCTGAGCAGCAGAAAAGAACACGGGCTCTGGCTTCGATCTGCTTCTCCACACTTCACTTCTGAGCCTATTCCAGCCGGCCTCCCTATTTCTGAATGTGACAGTGAGACGTATGCAGGGTTAACCACCACAAGTCAGGACGGAGAGTAAAGAGCTAGCCCTGAGTTTGACCTGGGCAATTCTCTTCTGAGTCGACCTTCACCAACGACCTTCTGAGACCCCAGCCCTGTTCCAGATGCTTTAGGGGCACATACTTCATTTTGACCATCATGCTATAAAGCTGGTACAATTATTACCTCTCATTTACATTACGTGGACTAGTCAGTTATGTGACGTAACTGAGGTTCAGGGAAAAATCTGGTCCAAGAACACACAGCCGAACGAAGATCTAAATACAGATGTTTTAATTCTACAGAAATGTCTCCTTCCTACTTTACACAAATAGGAGATATTATTCGGGGCTTGTAAACAGGTATGTTAGGTGCTGGCTATGGATGTGGTTATCACCTGAAGAATTCACCACTGACTTTTACTGCGGTGCAGTCACTAAGATACAAATGATATTAGATGGGTATTCTGAAGAACTCATCTGCTATACTGAATAAAGCAAAATCTCTTCAAGTATTAAACATTACTAAAGTACAGTCAAATCTTCAAATATATTTCAGGAAATGAGTGGTTAGACCATAATAACTGACTTTTAAAAAAGAAACTACATGCTTAAAAGTATCAGTCCTGTTCCTTACATTTAGTTCAGTTCAAATGCTAGCACATAGGGGTAAAAAGTCATTGCAAAACATTTTCAAGAAGAGGCCAGGGTTCCGTGTTTGCCGTGGCCATGGCCAGGCAAACCCCATGCTACCTTCCTCAGCCCACCCTAAACCCCTTGGTCTGGTGGACAAGAAGAATGCAGTCCACAAAGAAGAGACAGAGTTCTGCTGACCCTGTCCCTTCCTGCACACCTGAACACAGTAAATGGAAATGAAGAGAAAGAGAAGGGAACCTTACAAGAGGTCCAGGTGAATTTCTATCCGCCCCCTCCCCCGCCCCCGACGTTGTCCTTTACTTCAAGGCAACATTACTATGATTGTCATCACCATGATTACTGTTATGGGCTGAATCGTGCCCCCCCCAATTCATAATGTGGAAGTCCCAACCCCCAGTCCCTAAGAATGTGACTGTATTTGGAAACATGGCTTTTAAGAAAGGTAATTAAATCCAATTAAATCCTATTCCAATTTGACTGGTGTCCTTGTAAGAAGAGGAAACGTGGACAGAGGCCCAGAGAAAGGTTCTGTTGTAGAAGCAGAGATAAGATGGCCATCACTAAGCCAAGGAGAGAGGCTTCCAAAGAAGCCAATCCTGCTGACACCTGGATCTTGGACTTCTAGCCTCCAGAATTGTGAGAAGGTGAATTCCTGCTGTGTGAGCCCCCCAGTCTGTGATATTTTGTGATGGCAGCCTGAGCAAACTAAGATGATCATCATTACCACCGTCATCATCTTCATTATTATGTCCATCGGTATTATTTTTATCAGTACTAATGAAAATATTCATTTATGACCCTTTTACAAAATTCTGGGCACCATGTTAAGCACTCATACATTAATTAGCTCATTTAACTCAGTGAGGTGGATGCCACTATAACCCCCATTTTCCAGAACAGTAAGGCTCGGGGCTCTGGCTCATGTACATAATAAGTAATGGAGGATAAACTCAAGCCCACGTCTGACTCCACATTCCAAATTTTTTTTTTTTCCTTCTCACTTCTATCTGCCCTTGGTCAGATTAGGATTTTAGTTTAAGAAAGAGAATTCCTCAGGGGCGCCTGGATGGCGCATTCGGTTAAGTGTCCAGCTCTTGGTTTTGGCTCAGGTCATGAACTCAGGGTATTGGGATTGAGACCTCAGCTCAGTCTGGAGTCTGCTTAAGACTCTCCTTCTTCCTCTGTCCCTCCCCTCTCTCTCTCTCTAAAATAAATAAATAAATCTTTAAAAAAGAGAGAGAGAGAATTCCTCAGAAATGTCAGCAGAGTTGGTCTTCTGTAAGAAGAGATCATTTGCAAATCTTTAAGTTTTGTTTTTAAAATCCAATCAAAAATATTCTCACCAACTCCACCTGTCATTTATTTTTCCCACCCCTTCACCAAATGTTCCTGCTCGCCTTCCTCCCAGGAGCTAATTCTCCACAGAGAAAATTCATTTATTATAGGAGGAGCAAGCCATTTAAAAGGATCAGAAGCTATTATACAGTTTGGCAAGGATACCCGACCCATCTCGAGGAGTCGCCCTCAATGCATCGTCCTGTAGAACACAAAAATTATGTGAAACGCCCGAGATATCCCATCACAGAAATCTACTGACTGTGCTCTGTGCCTGGGCCAGATTAAAAAAAAAAAAGTGAGGATAATGGATAGAACACTGCCAATTCCAATTTTCCATCTATTAAGCATGTATCTGATTTGCACATAATTCTATTTAGCTATTTTATGTTTAACATCAATTTTTAGTCACTTGGAGAAACCACGGATTCCAGACTAGATGATTTTCTCTAAGTCACTCAGTATTGTTGACATTACCTTGGAATTTAACCACAAACACAAATTCTTTTGAGATGCTTAATAAAATTGGCTTCTTTGACAGGCCATTTCTTTTTTCTCTTGCTCTCTGTTCTTTGATACTTATACTATAGGTATGTGCCAATTTTCTTGAATGGGTTAGAAAAATGGTTTATTCTCAGAGCAAGCCACAACTGATTTACACAGAAAATGTTTACATTCATATTCTGTGATCCCAGAGGTACTTTATATCCAAAGTAGATTGTGTTTGGGGATAGAAAAACTATGCTTTTTCATTGTGGACTTCACTCTTTTGTCACAGGTTTGTCTGGCTTCAGCTTTATTTTTAACAATAAAACTGTGCACTAGGGTGTCTCAGAGGTCCCTTTATAAACATCAGCTGAATGTTCTGCTTACTGAAGAGACATGGAAAATATTTGCTTGTTGAATCCTGGGAATCCAAGTTTTTAGAAACTCATCAGTTTTTCTCCATGAAGGGACCTTAAAAATTATGTGGTCCGACCCTCTTTTTATAAACTTGGACACTGTGGCCCAGGAAAGTCAAGTGATTTGCCCAAAATCTAAAGACAAATCATCCTCAGAGGTCTTGCTTCTCACTCCATTGAATTGTTCGGGTCCCTGGCTCAGAGCTCACTGTATCACACACGTCTCCTGGAACCACCCCATCCAAAACATACCGTACATCCCATTACTCTCAATATCCTTTCTCTCTGTGCTTTTAAAAGTAATTATATTATGTATTTATTGTCTTTCTTTTCCTGCTAGAATGAATATAATTTCCACGAAGTTTTGTTTACTGCCATATCTCCAGAACCTCATAGTAGATGCTCAATAAATACCTGTTGAATGAATAAAGTCACGGATAGCAGGAGAGAATCCTGGGCTTACCACCTTTCCCATCAAATGTGAATGACAGCTTATGATTTCCCACAGTCCCTCTCTTCTCCCAACCCAAATCCATGGTGAACATCTGTTGATGCTTGCTATGCTCCAAGCACTGACCCACACTTTATGCGTATTAGCTAATTTAATCCTAACAATAAACTCTCTGAAGTGGGTATGACTATAGCCCTATTTTAGAAATGAGGAAACTGAGGCACAGAGAAGTTAAGCAACTTGCTCAGGGCCACACAGCCTGTCGATGATAGAGCTGGCATTCACACCCAGGCAGCCGGGCTCTGGCATCCGCATCCGTAGCTATTCTGCTCTAATGCCTCCTATGGCCGTGGCCACCCGTCTATGAGCTTTATTCTCTTTTCACCCCTTCCCCAAGTGAATGCTGGGAGGAGTCAGGGCTCACTATCTCTTTCACGAGGATAAAAGGCAAACTCAGCTAGAGGAAAGAAATGGTGAAGTCAGAGGCTTCACGGCTAAGAGATGATAGATTCATGAAGGGGAGGCAGGTAGGAAGTGCAGACTGCTAGCCTGATACCAGGTAAGTACACAGGTGAGTGAGGGAAGGGGAAGGGAGAGAGGGATGACTGGCCACACAGCCAAGGACCGGATGAGAGAGGCCGGGCGGACACACCCTGGCCAAGCGCTGTGAGCACCTTGGTAAGACAGTGAAAAGTTCCGATTGCAAATCATTACGAAAAGCAAAACCTGCTCACTGAATAATAATAAATAGGAACTGACAGACATCCAGGTGGTTCCGCAGAAGCCTAAAGTACAGGTAAGTCACCTGTGTAAAGCCTCTGACTCATTACAGAGCAGGAAACGGTGCCTACTTGCGTGAAAAAGAGGACCGCTTGCTTCCCGCCGCAGACATATGGACCTCAGGGGCCGAAATGCTGCCCGTGCTGCTCGAGGAGCTAAAATCCGCTTCACTACCTGAAAAACAAGGGGGGGGTGGGGGGAGAAAGGCATGAGGGAAAGGAACGTGAGAACACGCTGGCCACTTCCCTGCCTGGCGGGGCCCCCCCTTCCCGGCTCCCGCACGGGCACACTCTAGCTCAGCAAGTGGCAGGATTCCAGAGCCTCCTGGCTCTCAGCCCTTTCCTCAAAGCAAACAAGAGAAGGGGTGAGAACGACGACATCATTTCATAAACACAACGCAGAAGCACAGCGAGGCTGATTTCATAAAGACCGATCTTCCGGCGGACAATCCACACGGGCTTCGGTGGGGGCAGAAGCGCGCGCCTCGCCCTGTGCGTCCGCGTCCGGGGCCCTCCCTCGGCGACAGGCGCGCGGCGACCCAAACTTCAGGCAGAAGGAAAAGCATGCTTGTCAGTCCCAAAGCCAGTCTTCCAGGAAAGCTTATCCTGGGGCTTCTGCAGTCGGCTCGCCGTGCTTGAATCTGGCCCGTTAGGGACTGGAGAGAATCAGCCAGTGAGAAGCGGTGGGGAAGAGCGCCTGGGCCCCAGATAAGGGCTTGCACCCGCGCGGTCTGGTGAGCGGCTCTGACTGCGGCCGCTGTTTCTCTAATAAGAACACAACCTTCACGAAAAGCCGGAATTGAACATTTCCAAACAGGCAGCGACAGAGATGGAAACTGGGGGTTATCCTGATATGTGACATTTTAGTTGCAGGGATGGGGAGGGAGGTTGTTCATTAGTTTACAAAAATCACATTACATTTTGAGTACAGACTACAGATTGTTATGTAATTAGAAACATGCTGTGTGGCAGAATAATTAATACAAATTCATTCTAACAAAAAAATACATCGTTCTGAAATGGTAGTAACAGAACTATTCCATGGATTGCCTGGGGGAGTGAAGGAGTGTGGAAGAGGCCAAAGAGAACAAGTGGGAAGAAGGAAGAGAGGATTTTTTAAAAATGTAAAATTCCATATGCTTTTGGAAAACTAATCTAGGTATACGATTTTATTTGACCTTCCCTCCCAACTCCTACAACAGTTTGTGACTTTTCTGGTCTAGAACCCAGAGCCAGCTCACATTTCTGGGTTGAGGAAAATAGGAACAATCTAAATCCTTTGAGTTTCTAACAAGCAGTGAACAATAATTATCATCACAATAATAACTATTTATTGAGTGCCTACTAGGCACCAGGCCCTCTAGGACATATTTTCTATTCTTTGTATCTGTTAATCTTGACAACTCTGTAAGGCAGACATTAATCTCGCTATTCTACTACTGAAGAAATCAAAACCAAGATGATAGATGTCCAAGGCTTGTGGGGGACAAATTCTGGTCAGGACCAAGTCTCCATGCCACTTCTCCCCGTACCATGCTGCATCCTCCGGAAGGCAGTGGGAAGAAAGAGGGGCACCAAGGAGGTTCCTGGATACACTATATACTCCCATCTCCCTAACGGCCAAGATGACCCATTGGTACAAGATGCAGCCAGACTGGCCCACTGGTGAACGGATCCTCTCACTGACAGGTTTTATTAGTTTTGCTAGAAGAAAAGACAATGGCGAGGCAGAGAGAGAAAAATCCCTTCCCCGGCTCCCAGGACCTCTCTGGAAGTTCAGCCTCTTCTGGGAAAGACACCAAAAATGACCCCTTAGCACAGATGACAGCAGTGAATCCTAATTCCCAGAAGAATTCCGGAAGAATTAGGGCGGCAGTTTATCAGGACTGAGAGTGGCTATTCCTTCCGGATTTCAGAGACTCTGTCTAATGTTGTAATGAACTCCCCAATTGTAATCAGTTGCCTCTGAGTAATGCACTGGCTAACCTGTAGTATTTTACAATCACAAGGATTCAAGATTGGTAGTTCTATCCAGCAATATGCTAGTCCTGACAGCCTAATTCCACCAGCCTCGCCTGCTAGTAAATTATCAGGTTGGTTATTAAGTGATAAAGGCAGCCAATTTTCAAAAAATAGATGCAGTGGTTGCAGCCACCAGGTTTGAGATATTATTTTCTAGCGTAAGATTATGACTCTGAAACACTCAATTTTCATTCCTTAAAAGAAACGCAAAACCCCGTCAATTATAACTTAACTGCCTGAATAAAAACAGAAATTCTAGAACAGAAACAGACCAGACAACTGCTGAAAATCCATTGTTTCCTCAGGATGCCTTTGATCTGTGCTAATTATGTACCCTGAACTGAAGGGACAAGTTTGCTCTACACTTTATTGCTACTGGAACTCGACGTATTGACTCTTACGTATGGGCTGGGCCCAAGTTTGTTCCTATACTTCTCCAACTCACCTTCTGAAAGAGGTTAGGAGACTCATTCAGGGTACCCAGCGGCGGCAATCAGGACTGAGTAATAGGAGAGAGAAAAACATCTGTGCTACTTAGGCCATTTCACTTTGCTATGTTTTATTTATTTTTTTATTTTTTATTTTTTTAAGATTTTATTTCTTTATTTGAGAGAGAGACACAGCGAGAGAGGGAACACAAGCTGGGGGAGTGGGAGAGGGAGAAGCTGGCTTCCCGCGGAGGAGGGAGCCCGATGCGGGACTCGATCCCAGAACCCTGGGATCATGACCTGAGCCGAAGGCAGATGCTTAACGACTGAGCCACCCAGGCACCCCTCACTTTGCTATGTTTTAAAATATATTTCCAGTTTGGTTAATGCAAGGTAAAGTCCATACACTCTTTTTAGGGGATACACAGAAATGTCAATTGAACTACATCATCTGATACACATACTCTTACCATTTTTTTTAAAGATTTTATTTATTTATTTGAGACAGAGAGAATGAGAGACAGAAAGCATGAGAGGGAGGAGGGTCAGAGGGAGAAGCAGACTCCCCGCCGAGCAGGGAGCCCAATGCGGGACTCGATCCCGGGACTCCAGGATCATGACCTGAGCCGAAGGCAGTCGCTTAACCAACTGAGCCACCCAGGCGCCCATACTCTTACCATTTACTAAGCACGATAACTAAGAGGAAGACTAGAGGTCTGAAAGCCCCCCGTTCATCAGCTGGCAACAAAGACTCAAGGACGGAGAGGCACTCTCTATTCATCACCTTTAAACAGTGTGTGCAACTGGGTTATTGCTGTGGGGGCTGTAGCTCAACGCTCATCGGTATTATTCAAATCATACAAAGACAGTACCTAACCTAAAAACCTAAAAACACAGGCCCTGCATCAGACAGCACGGGTTCAAATCCCACCACTACCACTCACTAGATGGGGGGGGGCCTTTAGGCAAGTTACTTCACCTTTCTGCACTTCTGTTTCTAAATCTGTTACATGGAGATGATAATCATGGATTCTGCCTCTTAAGGTTGTTGTAAGCAAGGAACGTGTGTGTGTGTGTGTGTGTGTATACAAACACATGCATACACACACACACACACACACATAAAGTACTTGATCCCTTGTAAGGTCTCAATAAATGTTAGCCATTACTCTTCTTCTGCAGGGGTTAAAAAGACAACTGTTATTACACATTTCCTTTGTAGAAAATTTAGAAAATAGCAGTGATCCGTAGGACAAAATGTAGTCTATTATTTCATCACCAAAAAATAACTAAAGTTAACCTTTTGGTATATAATTACTCAGCATTCCTAGTTAATATATTACTATGTAACTTAATTGCTTTTCTTTTAATATGTGAATATCTTCAAAAATATAGTACATTTTGGGTTTTTTTAGACATATATATTTTTAAGATTTATTTATTTGAGAGAGAGAGAGAGCAAGGGGAGGGGCAGAGGGAGAGGGAGAGAGAAACTCAAGCAGACTCTGCACTGAGTGTGGAGTATGAAGCAGAGCTGGATCTCACAACCCTGAGATCATGACCTGAGAGGAAACCAAGAGTTGGATGCTTAACCGACTGAGCCACCCAGGTGCCCCTACGTTGTGTTTTATTAAATCAATGAGTATATAGGCTATGTTTAATTTTTCTATTATTAGTAACAAACAGCATGTGCCAGAAAACATCCTAAGCATATTTACATATTAACTCATTTATTTCTTATGATAGTACAGACCCTGTGAGGTTGGGACAATTATCAGTCCCTGTTACAGATGAGGCAGAGAAGTTGAGTGACATGCACAAGGTGACACAACTATCAAGAACTGGAGGCAAGACTTGTACCAAGGCCAAGAAGACTCCCCGCTGACCCGGGAGCCCAATGCAGGGCTCGATGCAGGGCTCGATCCCAGGCCCCTGAGATCATGACCTGAGCCGAAGGCAGACGCTTAACGACTGAGCCACCCACGTGCCCCCTTGTCTGCTATTCTTTAGAATAAATGCCTCAAAGACTGTTTAAGCCAAAGGATATGCTCAATTTCAAGAAATTTAATATTTATTGCATCATACGTATTTTCGGATGGCATTAGCCTAAAGCAGTTTTTGTGCTAAAGAACGTGTTTGCCTCTGTGTGCTGTGTGTAGATACCCGAATGCAAATCTCTGATGTCACCGAGAATATTCCGAAAGAGCACAGGACACAATATTTGGCCGTTGTAGACTTGTGTTTGAACAGCTGAAGGGAGTTTTAAATGCCTAAGTTATCCTCATCGATACTGTCTCCGATCAGCTGCTGGAGTTGGTGGAGCAGGATTCCAGGACTGAAAGGGGTGGATGAACTTGCTGACCTTTACCTCATGATGCCCATGTCTTGGTGACTACACGTCCTACAGCAAAAGGCATTCTCCAACCAGTGAGCTCTGCTCCCTGGCCTCCAGAAGCTCTGGTGGCTTTTGTTTGTAGTACTGCTGGATTCTCCGGAGAGGCATGACTTTTTCATAACATTACGGTAATAAGCATTCTGTGCATGTGATGGTAAGGTCAGGAATTAGAGAAGGAAGGAAAATTGGAAAGAACAAGGGTATGTGCAAAAACTGATAACTAGACTTATTTTTTTGAAACACTGCCTGCGATCTGGTCTCTTAGGACATTATTATTTTTTGCTTTCAGGAGACTATGGAGTCCTCAGACATCAGAACATGACAAGCCTC